ATCAGTATTGAAAAAACGGCTGGTATACTGTGATACGGGTTTTTGGTATACCGGTATTGGATGCCCTATATTTGACAAAACAACTTAGTTCAATCAATGAGTGATTGAATGCAATGAATGAGTCATCAATGAATGGTATGTTCTTTTGAAACAGGCATTGTCAAATCAATTTGTTCTTTAGAAGTTTAAATAGGTATTCTACAAAGTGTAAAGTACTAATAATTAATCCAGGATATTATCTGTCTTGATATTGTTGTTTTTGGCAGTTTAAACAACCACCCAATACAAGAGAAAATTCATTTTTAAATATAAACAAGAGTCACAAAAAACTGATTTAGTGGACTTAATTTAATCATTTTTTCGTGACTCTTGTTTATATTTAAAAATGAATTTTCAGCTGAAACTTTGAAAGATAAAAATAAATAATAAACATAACTATAAATAACAGTTAAAAAACAAAAAAACAATTTAAAAATAAAACATTAAAACTAAAAATAAATTTTTCCTAAAAAAAATTTAAACCCGCATTCGTAAACACGCCTAAATAAACATCCGTAGCACTACACTATCAAGTTGATTAAGATGGTAGGCTACCTTGAAAACTAAATCCTAGAATTATTTATCAAAAAGCTCAGTACTTGGTAACAATATATATAACCTTTAGAATTATGGAAAATTAAAAAAAAAATTGTGGAATTTTTACCCAAACCAGAATACCTAAACCAGTTAATAAATAATTGTCAAATCATCAGGGCCGCCGAGAGGGGGCAACTGGGCGCCAGATATCCAAGGGGCGCCAAATAAAATGTAGATACTTGAAAGGAAGAAAAAAAAGGTCCTTCATATATAATATAGGGAAAATTTTAGATATAATTATAGATATAACAATGTACAAAACACGTTCAAAAAAGACCAGTTTTATAAACTAATCTTTCGGTTTCTTCAAAGGCATCTGCAAAACCTTTACGCTGGGGTCTTTTATTATTATTATTTTGTTTAAGCTTGACTTTTGGAGTAGACTTGTGATTCACTAGCAACTTTCACAATCTTTTTTGTGCAAAATTCTTAATGTAATTCTGTAAATTTTCCATTATACATAATTGACATGTCAAATACATTTAACACTCTATTTAATCCCTCATTAAAATTTATGGTTGCAGATGAGACACCAATTTCTAAAGTGTCTCCTCCAACAAAAATATCCTTTGGACATCTTTTCCAAATAATTCCATTTAATGATTCATTAAATGGAATGCGATAGTCAATACAAGGTCATTATTCCAATGTCACTAGAAATTATAGTTATGACACCATTCAAAGAAGAAAGTTCTCGCTTTTCATATATAATATAGGGAAAATTTTAGATATAATTATAGATATAACAATGTACAAAACACGTTCAAAAAAGACCAGTTTTATAAACTAATCTTTCGGTTTCTTCAAAGGCATCTGCAAAACCTTTACGCTGGGGTCTTTTATTATTATTATTTTGTTTAAGCTTGACTTTTGGAGTAGACTTGTGATTCACTAGCAACTTTCACAATCTTTTTTGTGCAAAATTCTTAATGTAATTCTGTAAATTTTCCATTATACATAATTGACATGTCAAATACATTTAACACTCTATTTAATCCCTCATTAAAATTTATGGTTGCAGATGAGACACCAATTTCTAAAGTGTCTCCTCCAACAAAAATATCCTTTGGACATCTTTTCCAAATAATTCCATTTAATGATTCATTAAATGGAATGCGATAGTCAATGCAAGGTCATTATTCCAATGTCACTAGAAATTATAGTTATGACACCATTCAAAGAAGAAAGTTCTCGCTTTTGCCAGGTACTACCACATGAAACTGTAACATTTGTCTTGTTCTCACCAAGACCTCGTTTAATCTCAGTAGCTGCTTTATTCATAAAGTTTAGAGTAACTTGCTTGTAAACAATTAATGTTTCATTGAATATCATGAAATGTAATTCCACAAAAGGTTGTTGGAGCAGCATGTCCCTTTCCTATTTCTCTCATGGCAATAATGGATCTCGTTTTAACATTTTTCTATTTCTCTCATGGCAATAATGGATAACGTTTTAATATTGCCCACCAGATCCATCTATGGAGAATACTCCCAACTTTCGTAAGACTTATGTGACGAAGCTGATGGTTAAAGGGATATGTTATTAAAACTAGGTTGTGATAATGGTGGTCAAACTTAACGCAGGAAGCAGTGTCATTTTATTCTACTATGATGATATTTTTAAATCTATAATTTTACATCAAAAAAGTATTTGTTTATTATTGTCATTTTTTTCATTACCTTTCCAAAAATATTTGTTAAACTTGGGTGAACGATTAGTACTTTTTTCAAAGGAATGTCGTGCTTCATTTTTGTATAGTTAATTGTTTAGAGATTTACGTTTTTTTACTTTACGTGAAAAACCAATTTTTTGTAACTTATTATTATTATAGCTTTTTAAATATAAATATTTCGACTACCGACATGGGGTTAACAGTAACATTATATATATATATATATATATATATATATATATATATATATATATATATATATATATATATATATATATATATATATATATATATATATATATATATATATATTTCGTCATTATTAATATAAATTTGTACAACATTTTACCGTGAAATATGACTGGAGCAAGTAGAAGATAATAGTCTTATCATCTTGCCCCATTTTTGTCGTTGACAAAATATAATTAAATATAAACCACATTTGAAAAAGGAAAAATTTTAAAAATAAGAGATTGTTTCATTAATGTTGAGGTCTAGTAGCTGTTGCTTTACAACGCATTTAAAATGTTGGAATAAGTTTATCGTTTTTATTTTGTTTGTTAGAAATGAGTCCCACAATTGAGGTCCTCTGCTGGATATTGAGAATTTAGATTGTCTTAAAGAAGTTTTCGGAGTATAGTAGTTCTTGATAGAGTATTTTGTTTGATATTTGTGGTTAATAAGGTGAAAATAGTTATGAAAGACTTCAGGGACCAGATCATTTTTGAGTTTAAACATGAACTGAAGAATGCAATATATATTTTGTTCGTAGATATTAAGAACTCTCAGTTCCCTCATTAAATGTTTAGAATTGGCATTTTTATTTGCGTTTGTTAATATACGACACGCTTGTTTTTGTTTTTTATATATTAAATCTAGTTTTGATTGGTAGGTACTAGCCCAGGCAATATTGCAGTAGTTAATATAGCTATGTATTTATGCAAAATAAAAACTTTTAGGGCATGGATTATTTAAAATATATCTGGTTTTATGCATAATTCCAATGTTTTTAGATATTTTGTTTTTTAATGTATTAATGTGGTCTTTCCAGCTAATATGTTCATCTAATAATACCCCGAGAAATTTAACTGAGAACGCTCGATTTAGTCTAACTTTGTCCAATAGAATATCTGGAAGTTTTAATGGTAGTTTGTCTGAATTGTAAGGTTTTGTGAAAAAGATATAATTACTTTTCTCAATGTTGACAGAAAGTTTGTTTGCTTTAAACTAATCGCTCAACTCTTCAAGTTCCTGATTTACTGTATTAAAAAGTGTAGTAATGTTAGAGTGGGTATAACTTGGTGCGGAAAGGTTGTACTAAGGGGTTGTCCATAAAGTACGAACGCCAAAAATTCTGAAATTTAACACCTTCTCCCCCGTTGCCATGCGTACTTTCAAGTCCCCACCCCCTTAAATAGTACGTGCATTTTCATATACCACCCCCCCAATTGACAAAGTAAAGGTGGAGGAGAGACCCTAGATACTTTAAAAGTATCTAGGGTACCTCCTCCACCTTTTTTTTTTCACTACATTTTAGTATTAAAAAAAAAAAAAAATTGGCGGGGGCTGAAAAACGTATAAAGTTTTTTGTTGACTCAAAAAATAGGCAACCTATTTTAGCACATGCATGCACGTACATCCCACTCCTTATATAGTGGCCCTGAGTATACTCAAGGCTAGTATATAAGGGGTTGCATGTATGATATAGGTTATGCTTCTGATAATACACTTCTGATAACAACTCTAAACTTAAGTATGCCAAACGAGGAGACATTGTAAAAAATTTTACTACATTGGTGCTCTCACGTTTGGGCAGGGGATGCAAGCATTTGAGGGCTTTTTTGTTCCCAGACTACCGCCATAACAATTCCTCGCAAGGCCTTTTTAAATGGCATAAGTATAAACATACTTAAGTTTGAACAATGTGTGGAAGTGGTTTATCTGGAACATAAAAATATATTGCAGGCGTCCATGCATGAGCGTGCATGGAGAGATTATACCTTTAACTCCCTTTACGGTACATCTTATGTTGGCAAACTAGGATATTTAGTCGAAATTAACTTTTCTAGACTAACTGGTTGTGTAAAATTAGAAATTTGAAGTACGTAAGTGCTTAATGGACGACCCCTAACTGATACGGGAAACACTTAGATCAAGTTGGCATCAGTCAGATTTTTGGACGAAAGACTGTTTGCACGAAATTCGCTAACACACCCTAGTTGAAATTATTTGAAAAATGCCTTAATCCACTTATAGAATCAGGATCTACTCGGATCTGACGAAGTATATTTGCCAAAATACAATATTTTTACTAATGATACTAAAATTCTGACCAAGAGCATATGATTAAGAAAATAATCAATCAGAGCAGATAACATTAAAGAATGATACTCATTTTCACATGAACAAATATCCAAAATCTAATCTAACAATCGTGATTTTTATGATTCATTTTTAAAAATAAAAGAATCTGGTTTATTATCAGCGACAAACATTTATATTTTATATCGCAAAATGTATCATTTTAATTATTTTCGTATTTTCACAAAACTGATTATTTAACGGAAATATGTCGTGGCCAACACAATATAATACAGACGCTTAATTTTAAAATTGCGAAATTTATGATTGTGAAATTAAAACTACACCGAGTTTGAATTTCATCTTTACAATAATAGACAAAAAGAACAAATAAGTGAGAAAAAATCTCATATTTGTAAATATTTAGTTCTTCTTTCTTCTAGATCGGCTTTTTTTCATAACTGTAGTTTTTTGACTTCTCAGAATTGCACAAGCACGTCGCATGGCAGGCTAAATCAATAAAATATAGATATTTAAAAAAGTGTACTGTAGGATAGGTTTGAATTCACTATGTAATTTATAGACCAATAACTAACACATTTTTAAACAAATAAAAATATCTGGGGCTCACTGGGTAAAGAAACACAAACTACTGGTAATTAAAACTAAAAAAATAACATAGTTGTCATTAACTGATTGTATAAATTAAAAACTTACTTGAATTAAATCTTTTCGATAGCTGTTAGATGACAATTTATTTTTAATGGATTTCATTGTATGACGACTTCCCTTTAACAGAATTGAACTATCATAATGCTTTTGACCTCGCAACTTTTCTAAAACAAATTGACATGATAAATAAATTTTTTTTACACTCATTTAAAATCAAATTTGGATCAAAAGAAAAAAGAAAATTACTTTTTCGAATGGTAAGAACAACACCTTTCCCACCATTAGAAGTAACACCAACTGTCTAAAAACAAACCAGACTACATATAGTAAAATTAACACAAACAAATATGTTCACACATAAAAATGCAATAATTTGTGTTTCAGCTTGTCAGAAGTGAAATAATTATTTGATTTCAATCATATCAGACATATGAAATAAAATTCATCATTAACACAATTACATGATACTTAAAATATACTTGAGAATAAACAAATTTAATTATTAACTATAAAGTAGTTAAACTATTACAAATGATAAAAAAATAAAATAAAATTTAAGTATTAGTGTTATAAATTTGATATAAATATAATCCCTGATTAAAATATTTAAGACAACCTATTCAACAAAATCAACTAGCAACAGAACATTTGTCCAGCTCTAATTACTGAAAGATATCTATTGCAGATACAAAACAATAACCAAAACAAATTTATTTAAGCTAGTTTTGACACTCAACTACAGTAATAAGAAAGTCAAGTAACGCCCTAGCCAGTTTATTTTTAACTTATCTACTTGATTTTTTGTGAGTAATTATTAGGACTATTTATAAACCTAAACTTTACATAATGACGATAATAATATAAAAATACTACATTCATTGATATTATTATACACTGTAGTGAATTTTTTAATATTGATTACTAATCTAATTTTTTTTACTAAATATAATTAAGTTTATAACAATTTATAATGCGAGAGATCACCTTATAAAGACATCAATTAACATTCAAACTTTATTCTTATATTAATGATTCTTACTTTATACTAATGATTTATTTAAAAACATACACCTGAAAATCAAAGGAAAGTTTTCTCATCTGTAATAAAGTGCAGTAAAAATACACTAAAAATGCTTATTTATAAAAACAACTAATAAACAACAATAAAACATAACTTGGTTATATTTATTAAAACTACAGGTAAACAAAATTATTTAGTCTGATTTTAATTATAATCATAGTGTAGAATTACATTGAGTTTAACAAAAATATGCAGGAAGTGTACACAACCTGCGACTAAACCAGTAATTTTTTGTGGGTGTGGAGATTTTTAAATATTTTAGTACCACATTTGCATATATCAAGTCTTTAATTTCCGATATTTTAGGACTTTTAGATTCTAGTTCAGAGAGGTTTGATACCATATCACCCCCTGTGTCCATGAATGAGCAAAACAGTTAGCACTAAGATGCCCTTACACAAACCTTGATTTAACCAACTTTGTATATTCTTTATATAAGTCAGTTGAACATTTAACACTGACACTTAATGTCACATAATGTTCATGAGTAGACTCAACAATTTAGTTATAACACTTACTATTCTCTGGCACAATGTAAGGAAAAAATTTGACAATTTTCATGTAATTATCTTATACACTTCTGTGCATAATGCCATCAATATGTATGCATATACATACAGATTTCATACAATATGGTATGTACAAATAACCATATAATTTTTAGGATTCTTTTAAATATTAATTATTAGCATTTTTGGCTATTTGAACAGTACAATATTTGAACAATACAATATCATAATTGTAAACTTCTGTTTTAAGTTTTAATGAATCAGCATAAAATTATCAATGATAATTACTAATAAAAATAGAGATGCAAAAAAGTAAATTAGTTCCCTCATTTACTTGGAGAATATATATTTAAAAAAATGAACTGATGCACAAAACACAACTAACTGATCACAAAAAAACACAACTAACTTATTTATAGCATATTTATCAGTTCTCCTGTCTAATATAGCTTTGAAAACTGAAACTAATGTAAACAAACAAAGATTAAATTAAGTTAGAAACCTATCAAAACAAGTCTTACTCAAATTATTGTAAATTGTACAGCTTGAGTCATTGAAATGCATCTACTAAAGATACAAGACAACATCAAAAACTGATTAATTTAAGCTAGTTTTGACACTTAACAGCAATAATAAAAAGTCAAGTAACGCCCTAGCTATTTTTTTTAAATAAATCAAAATTTTATTAACAAACGAATACAAAAGAAAATATTTTTATTGTTACTTATAAAAAAAATTAAATAACTTGACAGTCAGTTAAAAACTTATTCTGAAGCAACAACTTGAATTATTAGTATATTATTATATAACATCTATTCTGCTACTTCAGACTTAATGTGTGCCTCTATCAGAGAAAATAAGCTAAAAAAGGAGCAGATTTCCTGTCCTAGATGCAAATATAATTGATATATTTAATGCATTTTTTACAATTTGAACATCTTAAGTATAGTGCATTAAGGTAAAGAGAGGATATTGCTTTTCGGCAAAAGATAATTCAATATTAACTAAAATTAAACTTCTGCTAAATGACAAAATATTACCTTATAAGTAATTTAGTACCTTTTTGTTTACGAGTCCATTGTATTTAAAGCTGTTTAAACCAGTAAGATTGTGTGGTTCCTGATAAAGGAGAAAAAAAGTTTTAATTATTTTACTTGGTTTTATTGTTCTGTAATGTATTTTGATGTTATTTAATAACACCCAGTTTTTTAAATAATTATTTAAGACTAGTCTGAAACAAAAAAATAAACTGTATAAAAAAAATTGTTATACTATTTTATTCAGTATTTTGAAAATACAGATGAAATAATATCAAATAAACAAAATTCATGACATTAAATAATATATATATATATATATATATATATATATATATATATATATATATATATATATATATATATATATATGTATATATATATATATATATATATATATATATATATATATATATATATATATATATATATATATATATATATATATATACATGAAAGTAACTTGTATTAATTTACCTTAGTTAACGTCAACCCCTGACTTTTAACAAGAAAACAAGAGTTCTTGCGAAGTACTGACCAACACAATTCAGCGCTCATGTCGAGGACTGCAATTAAAATAAAGTACCAATTACTAGTATCTAGATACTAATGGCATTTTAAAGAAATATACATCACTTAAGTTCTCATGATATTAGAGATAAAAAACGATATTCTTTAAGGATAAACGCTATTGTACGCATACCTTCAGCTTTAGCTTAGGTTGGTAAAGAAATGACGCGACCTGTTCGTAGCAATTTGTAAACGGCTGGATGGGCCGTTCATACTATATTCTAATAGTGTTGTCATAATTAATTTTAAAGTTTGATGAACTTTTTTTAGAAAAAAAATATTTAAAACTTTATAAATTTTAAAAATGTGTTTTTGATAAAAATCATTTTTATTTGATATAATTGAAAACCTTTTTGTTTTGGTTCCTGTCAAAAATGCAACATTACTTATATAATTTTTTCTAGTTCATCTTTTAGTATACTGAACTTGGAGAGATTATATAAGTTATCCGTTAATTTAGCATTATTCTAAAATACGTCGATATAATAATTTTCTTGATTTTGGACAATAACTAACGTTAAGTAAAACATTAAAGGCTTAGTGGCTTTTTTTTTTTTTTTTTTTTTTTTTGCATTAAGTAATACAAATAGGCATTTAGAATATTTAGTCTCATGATGTATTAACTATATCAAATAATAAAAATAAATATAAAAAAATTATACATCCCATTCATACTTTTTTATAATTGGTACGAAATAGATACTTATACTTAGTAGTGTCCATTGATAAATTTTATGGCCAAAAAATGTTATAATAATTTAAGAAAATAATAAAGTTTTTTTACTCATTGAATTGTTTTTATTAGTTTGAGCTTTAGTAACTACATTTTATTTACTTATGTTTTGATTTATTTAGAAACTTTATGCAATTGATTCAAGATTTAAGTTTTTTCAAGATGTCTGTTATTTATCTGTATGACCTAATTTATTTTCTAATGTCGACTCTGATGTCTCTGTGCTTTTTTGCATTATCTGCTTTAATTTGCATCATTATTTTACTGAAAACATACATATTGTTATCAAAATGGCATTATAAACTAAACAATAAAAATAAAAATGACAGTATTGAAATAACGGTAGGTTTTTTTCATCCTTATTGCAATGCTGGTGGAGGTGGTGAACGAGTTCTATGGTGCGCAATAAGAGCTTTGCAAAATCGTTATTCATTTGTCAAATGTGTTGTTTACACTGGTGATATAGATAGCAAGCCAGAAGACATATTAAAAAGAGCTAAAGAAAGATTTAATATTGAAATAAATTCTCATGTTCATTTTGTATATTTACATAAAAGAGTATGGGTTACAGCAGAGCTATACCCAGTTCTTACATTACTCGGTCAAAGTTTAGGATCTATTGTATTAGGATTTGAAGCTTTGTTTAAATTTACCCCCAATATTTACTTAGACACTATGGGATATGCTTTTACTATTCCTATATTTAAGTACATTGGTGGGTGTTACGTGGGCAGTTACGTCCATTACCCAACAATTAGTACTGACATGCTCGAAAAAGTGCTTCAAAGACAAGCAGATTACAACAACTCTCTGCTTATTTCTAAAAGCTATATTCTAAGCACATTAAAATGGATTTATTATAACATCTTTGCATTGTGCTATGGCTTATCTGGTTGCTGTAACGATATTGTAATGGTTAACTCTTCGTGGACATTGAATCACATTATTTCTCTTTGGAAAGTACCTCAAATCACAAGTGTTATTTTCCCCCCATGTGATACAAAAACACTTATGAACATAAGCATTGATGCTAGTGAAACTTTGAAAGTAAAACCCAAGCAAATTATTTCAGTTGCTCAGTTTCGACCTGAAAAAAATCACATGCTTCAGTTGGAAATTTTTGAAAAATTTTTAAAGCAGCAATCTTATGAAATGAAGAATTGTTATAGACTTTTATTAGTTGGAAGTTGCAGAGGTGAAGAGGACAATAACCGAGTTGAGCTTTTAAAAAAGAAAGCAGAGTTGTTGAAAATAAATCAACAGGTAGAATTTCATTTAAACATATCCCACGAGAAACTACTAAATTTATTAACAGTCTCTACTATAGGTCTACATACAATGAAAGATGAGCATTTTGGTATAGGAGTTGTAGAATTTATGGCAGCAGGTTTAATAGTATTGGCACATAATTCTGCTGGGCCCAAAATGGATATTGTGATAAATTGGAATAGTAACGAAACTGGCTATTTAGCTTCAACTGCTGAAGAATATGTTGAAGCATTGTCTCAAATATTTAATTTATTGCCTTCAGAGCGCTACCATATTTGTATGAATGCTAGAGATTCTGTCAAAAAGCGATTTTCTGAAGAAACATTTGAGAAATTATTTCTAGCCAAAACAGAATTTATGTTTACAAAGCATTAAATATAGGGTTTATTTTTGTTGTTATTTTTAGATAATAAATTTAATTCTTGTTTATGTTTTTTTTTTGTTGTTGTTGATTATTACATTGTGTAGATAACATGATAATACTGTTTGATTGAGTACATATTATCATGGGTAAAAAATAAAATGCTACTGATGATCTGTACTGATTTTAAGCTTATTACTTTTTTAATCTAATTCTACAATTTGGGTTCGTAATTGTGTTTGGTTTTTATTGCAGAACTAAAGTCTTGAAAGAAGATTATTTTTTTTATTATTATCATCTTTTATAGATACCTCCCTATACTTAAACTTGTATGTATATATATATATATATATATATATATATATATATATATATATATATATATATATATATATATATATATATATATATATATATATATATATACATACATATATATATATATATATATATATATATATATATATATATATATATATATATATATATATATATATATATATATATATATATATATATATATATACATACATATATATATATATATATATATATATATATATATATATATATATATATATATATATATATATATATATATATATGTATATATATATATATATATGTATGTATATATCAGCCCTTGGAATTAGAAAAAATTAGGTCGGCAATAAACTGCTTACCTTAAACTAATAGAGGTCATCAGGTTCACAAAAAAAGTTTGACATTAAGGTCTTACCATAAAACATAGAAACGATATATATATATATATATATATATATATATATATATATATATATATATATATATATATATATATATATATATATATATATATATATATATATGTTGTTGACATTGATATAATATGTAAAGGTATTAAATACATATACTTTTTACTTAATCAAGTTATAAGATGAATGTTTACATTACTAAATGTTTTTTTAGTTTTTAGTAAAATGAATGATTGGAAATTCATTGAACCAGTTCGAAATATCAAAGTTCCTTTAGACATGTCCAAATGGAATCGATCGAAGGCATATCACGATTATATGAATTTTGTGATGTCATTAAATGAGGTTGTACGTAATACCAAAATAACAGATTCGTGTCATTTATCAAGTAATACTAAAGCTGTTGTTGGTGTTTTAGAGAGCTTGTCATCATGGATTGATGAAATCCCACCTTTGGAACAGCCCCAAAGGTTTGGAAACAAATCATATCGGGAATGGTATTTACGCCTTTTAGACAATTCAGAAAATTTAATTTCAGCTTTATTACCCGAGACCGTTAAAGCTGCTACAATTGAACTTAAAGCTTACTTTAATGATTCATTTGGAAACCAAACAAGAATTGATTATGGGACTGGGCATGAAGCAGCATTCATATTTTTTCTTTGTGGCTTGCATAAAATTTTAGTTTTGACAGATCAAGATAAGTTAGCTACCGTAATAATAATTTTTAATAAATATTTAGAAGTATGTCGCAAGTTACAAACAGTATATAGAATGGAACCAGCCGGTAGTCAAGGAGTTTGGGGTTTAGATGATTTTCAATTTATGCCTTATATTTGGGGAAGCTCCCAATTAATTGGCAATACAGAGGAAATAAAGCCCCAAGATATTCCATCGGACTCAATGGCTGCTAGACACTCAAACAGTTATTTATTTTTTGGTTGTATTCGCTATTTATTAACTGTTAAATCAGGTCCATTTGCAGAACATTCTAATGTTTTATGGGGTGTAAGCTCTGTCGCGTATTGGGATAAAGTTAATTCTGGACTTTTACGAATGTATCAAGCTGAAGTCCTATCAAAGTTTCCTGTTGTACAGCACTTTTTTTTTGGCAGTTTGATGTCTATTGAAAAAGCTGAGTCAGTAAAGTAGTGATTAAAAGCCTAAATTTTTAAGCTTCTTAATATATCTTTTCAAACCTGTTTCATATTTTTTATAAGCACTATGTGTGTGTGTGTGTATATATATATATATATATATATATATATATATATATATATATATATATATATATATATATATATATATATATATATATATATATATACATATATATATATATATATTCATACGTAAATTTAAAAACTATAAAACCTGCAGTTTGTACTGCTCAAGTAAACAATAAATGATTAAACTAATTGTAATTTGTCTTAGTTAAAATATAATACAATTACCAAATGCGATTATTTATTTCCCTTGCATAAGAAGGCAGACGAATGCGATGAATGCTGCATAGATGCCTTACAAAGAGGGGAGATGTTTGACCACAATAATATAAACAAATCGCCTATGGCAACATTTTAATATTATTACTTAATGAACATGAAAGCAATAAATTCTATATATCATAATATATAGAATTTATTGCTTTCATGTTCATTAAGTTATAATATTAAAATGTTGCCATAGGCGATTTGTAGCACTCTTTCTTGTTTGTAAGCGTGCTAGAAAACAAATTTGCAACCATGCGCACATTAAAGAAATAATTTTTTTTGATAAAGTACTGTGTAACTATTATTTTTTTAATGTATTTAGATATATCTGTTATTAGGACAAAATTAATAGATTCTAAAGTTAGTATAATAGATATCTATTGAAATGTGTTTTTGTTATACTTTTTATAAGAGGAATTTTATAAATTCAAATTTCGAATCCTTACTAATAACTATGCTAAATATAATTCTGGTTACAAAAATATAATAAATAAAAATGGTTACCAGATGCCATGGAGATACTTCTTAAAAACTAACATTTAAAAAAAAAAATGATGCTACACTTGCAAGTTATTATAAATTGAACTTGCAAGTTATTATAAATTCTTTTTAATGTATTTATGGCATTCTGTGATTTGAATAAAATAAAATAAATTATTTGAAGAATCTTTTCTCAGTCTCAATAATGTAAAAGAGGTATAATAGATCAACTAGAGGGAAAACGAAGCCGAAAATTATGGTACAGTCTTTGTAGTATAATTGTTCCAGTGGCAAATCAAAATAGCCCCATAGCGTTAGGAAAAATTTGTAAACTTTAAAAGCTGTAATCAAAGTGTAATCAAGATTGCTCTCTTAAAAATTGACAGAATAAATTTTTACCAGCTGTTCAAACTATCAAGAAGTAATCAGAACAAAAATGACGATCTAGGTAAAGTATTCGTTTTATGAATATCTGGTATAAACATAAAGTTTTAAACAATCTCATATATAATTTTAACTTAATTTTTTGCCTCCCCTTTTAGTTATTAGTTTGTTACGTTTTTAAAGACCGTTTTTTCAAAAGGATTTTACTAAATCTCTCCAGGATTTTATTTAGTGTTGTATTTTTGTAGCATTATTACAGGATTTAAAAACAAGTAGCTATATTTTAAATAGAGGAATAAAAAGTAACTTTTTTAAATCCGTGAAAATTTTTTTTTACTTATTCTAATCTAGATGCACACCCTCTCAATTCTTATCTAAAAAAATTTTTAACTGACCTTTCAAAAAAACACAACTTTAAAACTAGCTATCAACTAACCAAGGTTATCATGGATCTTAATAATGCCAACCTACTGATCCAAAAAAGTACTTATATATAATATTAATGTACACATAAAGGTACTCCGTGAATCAAAATTTGAAATATTTTAATATTATCAAAGGTAAAAAATTTAAATGTTCAAAATGAGTGAAATTTTGACTTCATAGTGCGCCAAAAAAACACCTGAAGATTAAGAACCATTTTATATAATTTGATAAAAATGAGTACAAATGGCATACACCAAACTATAGATTAAATTTCGGTCTGATTGGGTTTATGGCAAATTTTGTTAGTTTTTTTGCTAATTAAACCTTATAACGTTACCAATTATTTTCAAATTCGGTCACTAATTTCAAAATAATGGTTACACGAGTATTCCGCTATGCAGTACCAACAATTCTTATTATAATTTTTTTTATTGATGCATGTATTAATTTCATTTTATAGTCCAAAATATTGATTTTCTATTTGAAGCGTGATTTACTTATGCCAAGCGTTTTCTAAGCAATAACTCAGTGTTATCATGGAAGTATTAAACAGATGGAAGTTCATCGAGCCGCAAACATCAAAGCAATTTCAAGTCGTCTCGGGAGTATGCTTGTAACCGACAATTAAAAAAAAACAAGTTTCACTGGATAAAAAAACAACAAAATTCACTGAAATGATTTTTATTAAAACATTAAAAAATGATCTAATATATCTATGGATATGCTGCAAAGTTTTAACCATTAGTAATTTCAATTAATCTGCAAAAGGTTTATTAAAACTCGGTAATTAAATAGAACCACTTGATTTTAAAAGCATGTTAGTTTAAGCTTCTTTTCTTGCTTCAAGTCATAACACGACATTTGATAAAAAAGACAACTGAAACAATTTTTAAAAAATCAAAAAAATTGTTTTCTAAATAACTAAAGTTTAAAGTTTTATTAGCTGTATATGATAACTCCATTCATTCTTGTAGTACTCCATTCATTTAATATAAAGTTTATAAAAAAGTTGTTGTCTGCAGTTACGTTGCGCTATTTTTAATGTTTTTCATGAATATTATTGGCGAACCTTCAAAATACTATATTTTTAAGTTATTATAAACGTATCTTTTTGCGCCAACGTATAAAGATAAAGCGTTTAAGTACAGTCTTGATTTCGTTTTCTTATTGTTTACGAAACAAAAGGTTACAAGCATAGTCCCAAAGAATTTCAATGCGGTTGAACTTCCATCTGTTTTATATTTCCATGGTGTTATCTAAGCTATAAACAAAAAATACTTATTTCTCTTAAAACAAAAAGACTGAGAAAATCAAATATTTTTTTGACTTGATTTCCAAATATAATTGACTCTCAAAACTTAGATAAAATAACTAAAATGTTTGGAGTCCGAAGAAAACTTATCTTGACAGGTTAGGGTTGTTTTAAGTTTAATTAATTATGGTATTATTAAAAACTATTATAGCTTCTTAAAAAGTCTTTTTAATACAATATGCAATATTTTTAGAGATTATAAATGCCCTCGTTATTTAAGTAATCTAAAAAAAAAACTATTTAAAAAAAGAAACAAATAATAAAACTTTAGTACAATGTGCATCTTAAATCACAAAAGCATGGTTTCCAAAACAAAGATGTAACGTAATCAGCGTTATCTTCATTTAAACCACCGCTTTTCGGAGAACACTGGTTATATTGTATTTCCAAAGTCTTTCTAAGATTGTTTTAAAATAAAATTTGTGAAAATTTGATAAAAATATTTGCAGTGGCACAAAAAAAAAAAAAAAAAAAAAAAATCTCTTCCAAAAGAAAAGATATTATGAAGGGCGAAATAAAGAGCAGTAAAAAATACTTTTTGGATTGTGTCATCAAATAAGATTTCACCAAAATGCAGTGACTTAAAAATCACTAATGGAAGATATTCTAATACAGTTCTAGTTGGTTCTCACTGCAATAATTAATCAAGTCTTGTGAAATATGTAGTTCAAAGTCATAAAATTTCTGATTGTTATATTGTTAAACAAATTTTGCCTCGACTCTGTTCAGTAATCTGCTGGGGTTGTTACTAATGCAAAGCTAATGTCTGGCAATGTCATCCGAAAGTCAATCTTCAGCGGGCTTGACAATATTCTGATTTTAAAAATCATCACACCTTGAAATGGGATCTCCTCTTAGGAATTGTCAATCATCATTCCTAGTTCCTTAAAAATGCATGGGTAGAGCATTGCCCTCCATATTCAACTAAGTCCACATCAAGGGAACCAGTTCAAGGAAAACGAATACAGAAAACATTTTAAAAATATAAATATACTGCAGCACTTGCTGATACATGGTTCTCAATATTGTTCATACAATTGAAGCATTCAAAAATTTCAATTTTTTGTTGAAGGTTTGCTTTGTTTAGTTTCAGAAAGCATCAGATATATCTTTTGAATATTTGTTTTGCAAATTTGTGGGTTGTTTAAATATTTTGTCTGGATATTACAATCAAGGTTTAAAAAAGTGAGGCGTATTGAGGCGGTTTCCCTATATGTGAGGCAAGACGTAAGCCTCAATGCGCTTGAGGCGTACGCCTCATTTTGTTTGAGATCTACTAGTGTTATTACGACTATTGAAAAGTTCGACTGTCGACTAAATCGACTCATATATTTTCTAAAGTCGATCAAAGTCGACTATAATGTATACTTATATATACTATAGTATATATAATATATACTTATATATACATAGAATATATATATATATATGTATATATATATATATATATATATATATATATATATATATATATATATATATATATATATATATATATATATATATATATATATATATATATATATATATATATATATATATATATATATATATATATATATATATATATATATATATATATATATATATATATATATATATATACTTATAAAGTAGATCAAAGTCGACATATTTGAAATCGACTAAGTCGACTAAAAGTTGTTTAAGTCAAAATACGTGAATAAAATATTTGAAATGATTGAAATTTAAATTTTTAATAAAGATTAATCAAGTAATTCAGGGCCGGGTACTACAATTTTAGGACTGGGGCTGTAAATATAGGGGGTTTTCTTAAAAATTACCCATCGGGAGCGAGATCATACAAGGGTTTCTGCTGGGCTGAAGATCTTCAGGCACATTGATATAGCCGCGAGTTTGGGGCTAGATAGTTCCCCAAGCAGGGGATAAAAGTCTGTACAATCACGTTTACACTTTAATTATCGCAGAACCATATTCAACTCGGAACGGCCCTGTATGCATGTTATACAGCTGTACAAACGGCCCTGTATTCATGTTTTTTTGAAAATCAAAAGCAAAGACAAAACAAACCAAAAAAAGCAAACACATTACCGAAAGGTTTTATTAAGTTAAAACTTTTCCTCTTATC